GCCTTCCAAGGAGCAGGCAGGAGCAGACCAGGTAAGGAACAATGAGCAGAGATCTCTAAATCTCTCAAAGGAGGTGTTTGAAAATCCTGGAACGGTTAGTATTGTTAGGCCTCCCCACCGCCTGAGATCCCAGTGCAGCCTTGGTACCCTCTAGTGGAAGTTTTCTGCATTCACGCAGCTTCCCTGGCTTCAACCCCAAACTGCTGGGAGGGAAGCCCTCATTCAGTTCCTGGAGAGCGTCCCAGAAGAATGGTCAGTGGGAAGATACATGTTTCTATGTCAGGGTCCATGCGGGGCAGAGGAAAGACTACAGGCTGGAGGGGAGGGGTACTGAGCAGTCGGTTCACAAGGGGCTCTAAAGGGAGTCCTTGCTGGTATATAAATGAACTCAGGCCTTTACATTATTAATAGGAGCTCAGTATACATCGCATGGGACTTTGGCTTTTACGGCTCTAGAAAGATACTTTTTTTTTAATGGGCAAAATTAGTGATCAGAGGGGCGCCTGGGTGGCTCAGTCATTAAGTGTCTGCCTTCGGCTCGGGTCATGATCCCAGGGTCCTGGGATGGAGCTCCACATCAGGCTCCTTGCTACGTGGGAAGCCTGTTCTCCCTCTCCCACTCCCCCTGCTTGCGTTCCTTCTCTCTCTGTGTCTCTCTCTCTCTGTCAAATAAATAAAATCTTTAAAAAAAAAATTAGTGATCAGAGACGCAAAGTGACTTGCCTGAGGCCACAGGGGAAGTCAATGTCAGCAACGATGGGACTACATCCTTGTCTCCTGCCTCCCAACCCAGAGCTCTTTCTCCTCTATCACGCTCCCCTATTTGTGGGTTGATTGATTTTAGCCATAAGTCGGTGTGCATATAAGGATATGAGGTTGTATGTATAATCAGGGAATTGCTTTTGCCCACAATTTATTTCCTGCCTGCAATCTGTACACTTCGCATTCTTTTGTTCAACACATTTATAGAATGCCAGTTATTGCCAAACATTACCCTAGGCACTGCTTTTCAAGTTTATGGACCCTTTCCCAGGGTGCCCCAGCATAAGAGAATAGGCTCCCATGCTCCGGAACCCCATGCTTACAGCCCTCCAGGCAGCCCTCCTGGGGCGTCTTCCCCGGGTTTCCGATGCTAAGGTGTTAGATTTATTTCTGTCTCCCTCCTCCTGCAGAGGTAATCCCTGAGAATGGAAGTGGGTTAGAAACAGATTACTCTGATCCAAGGGCTTTGCCCTCTCCTCCCTGAATGTGGCACAGGGGAGGAGACGGGCAAGTCACAAATAGCCTGAAATTCCCTTTTAGGATTATTGCTTGATTTCGCCAGCTGGGGTGAAAGGGGAGCAAGAAGAGGCAAGGGATTACTTCTAGACTGAGCTTGAAGAGCAGGCTACGTGTGCTTCTTTTTCTGGCTGAGCCCAATGAGCAATATCTCTTCCTCAATATACCTTTAGAAATAAGGAGTCTGAGGCAGGCAGAAAAAGGTAACGGAAATGGCCTTTGTCCTCAGCAGCAGGGATGAGTGGAAGGATGGATGAGAAAGAACAGCTCCAGAAGAAAGGTAGGCAGCACGGAAATAAAGGGTCACTTGTGGGCTCAGAAATTACCTGCATTTCGGTGGTCTTAGCTTTAACAGAGGTGAAAACTGCTGCTGAGGTCAAGAGAGCTAACACACAGGGCTTCCCCTGAGGATTTCCAGTTCATATCCAGGTTAAGGGACTTATGGTTTCATATCCTTGCTTTAGGGACACTGCACTGGGATGGACTCTGGGGGTAGGGATGTTACCTGTGTCCAGAACAAAGAGTGGTTACACTTACCAGGACTCTGCTAGGCTCTGTGTGTACCTTCAGGACTATCATGAGGCTTGGGAGCAGTGGCCATAACTAACCAGAGTGGGAACTCATTTAATGAGTTATTAACAATTCTATGATTTAGGTATTTATTTAATTATTATTTTTTTAAAGGTTTTATTTATTTGACAGAGAGAGAGAGGGAGAGAGAGCATGAGGTGGGGGAGGGGTAGACAGAGAAGCAGGCTCCCCTCTGAGCAGGGAGCCCGATGTGGGGCTCTGTCCCAGGACCCTGGGATCATGACCTGAGCCGAAGGCAGATGCTTAACCGATTGAGTCACCTAGGCACCCCTGTGATTTAGGTATTTAATTATTCCCTTTCTATATGTAAGAAAAAAGGGTGGAGCTAAGATGTAAATTCAGGCACTATAGTGTTCTTAAGTACTATGGGAAAGCTATAGACAGTTAACTCTTGGAGTGACAGAGAAGATTTGCTAACAATTGTTAGCTAAAGATCAGTTGGGACCATAGTTAAGTCAGAATTCTTGGTTTCTTCTGTCACCTTATCTTGAACAACTCACTTATTTTGCTTTTCATGCTTTCACTCAAGAGAGGGAAGTACAATATAAACACATGGCAAGCCTATTACTTGCTCCAATCCAAGTATCACATTGTTTACTGTAATCAATAAATATTATAATCAGAATCTTCCAGTTCTCCAGAAGGATTTTCTTCATTCAAATCAACTGTGCGTCTCCTAGAATGTAGGTCACCAGGCACAATTTCAGAAGTTCCAATCTCTGATGTCATCTGCCACTGGGAGGAGAAAAAAAATGCAAGTACATGTCCCACTGCTCAAGGGATATCCCATTCTCTTTGGCTCCATTGAGAAATTTCAATAGGAAAACAAGGGATTCCAGGAACCCCCTGTGTTTGAAGAAACAGGAAATCAACTTTGCTCTCTGCCTTATCATATTCCATCTGGGATTCTACTCATCCATCTATTGAATTAAATAAATATTTGAGTGTCTACTATATGCAAGACTGTTTTTTGCAAGGCTGAGCTCCCAACCACCTTACTCCTTCCTCTAATTGCTCTTATTTTGCCTTTTCAGAAATGCAAACTACTAGGGTTGTAGGATTCAAAAATATCCTTTTGGTGTTTGGTGTTATTTCTCCAACAGCTCCCAGTTTTCCAGGGAGTTAATGAAGTAGGAAGATAATATGAATTTTCCAAATGAGCAGCTATTTAAAAAAACCCACTTATGATTCATCTCAGAATGAATTAACTGATATCAACTCCCCTTATTATTTCATCCAGGGTGATATAGAACAAGTTTGCATTCCCTGAGAAGCTGATCACAGGGGCCCCTGGCTGGCTCAGTCAGTGGAGCATGTGACTCTTGATCTCAGGGTTGTAAGTTTGAGTCCTACGTTGGGTGTAGAGATTACTTTTTTTTTTTAAGATTTATTTATTTGACAGAGACACAGCGAGAGAGGGAACACAAGCAGGGGGAGTGGGAGAGGGAGAAGCAGGCTTCCCGCTCAGCAGGGAGCCCTATGTGGGGCTCGATCCCAGGACCCTGGGACCATGACCTGAGCCGAAGGGAGACGCTTGCTTAACCAAATGAGCTACCCAGGTACGCCAGATGTAGACATTACTCAAAAATAAAATCTTAAAAAAAAAAAAAGAAAAAGAAAAAAGGAAAAAGGAAAAAGAAAGAAAAGTAAAATCTTAAAAAAAAAGAAAAAAGAAACTGATCAGAGGGCAGACAGAAGTGATCTGGGATGTATTGGCTACCATGTAAAGCTAATATAAAACTCAACGACGGAGGAGATAATCTCGGATAGAGTATCTCAGTATTCTGTATTAATAACCACTCATCATGGAACGGAATTTCCTCACTTCAGTAGGGACACCAGTAAAAAAAAATTCACATTTTATTTTCTGGGGCATAGAGTCTGTTAAGAAATAACGAGCTCTCATTTAAATGCTTAATAATATACATTCTATTAACACATACATATAGCACCTAATTTCATGTCCCTATTAATGTGTCATGCTATAGGTTCAGTGCCGTGGCTAGAACTGTGGGGCTATTCTTACCCTTGAATAATTTACAGTATAATTGAGAAGCTGAAATTTAAGGCAATACAAGTGATCCTGAAACCCAAAAGTAATCTTTCTCCTTTGATAGTCGGGAGCATTTTATCTGGACTTTTGTAACAGTTCTATTCCAGCCTGTAAGCTCTTGTATGTGCATACCACAAGCTCTTAACTCATTGCAAAATAGGTAAGTGCTCAATAAACACTAATTGGCAGAATAAGATAAGAACCTACAGGTAAGTGTGGAAAGTGTTTGTCATTCAGCAATGATGACAACATTGGATTTTCCAGGATGATCCCAACATCATAAATCCTTTAACAACCGAACGTGAAGCAGTCCAGCATAATAATTAGAGCACGGTTTCTGGATTCAGTCAGCTTGGATTTGAATCCCAGTTCTGACAGTAATTAGCCGTATGACCTTAAATAAATCACATGCTTGATTTCTCTGTGACCCAACCTCGTAGGTAAGAGTATTACTCTTGTTTGCGGTGAGGAGTGATTGAGTTAATATATGCAAAATGCTTAGAAAATTGCTTGGCACATAGTAAACATTTCTAAAGTATAAGCTTTTATTTGTTACGATTAAACCCGTGCCTCTTTCCCAAAAGGACAAACAAGAAATGTTTTTGTTAGTCCATGTGTCTTTTGCTTCAAAAACACAGTATTATGTTCGTCCAATAAACACAGTAGGCATTAATCTCTTTAATTTGACAGTAAGAATTTTCTTCACACGGTTCAGATTGGGAAAAGTAGCAATGTTTAAGGTTACATAGCATATTGAGGTCAGATTCAGATCCAGAAACCAGTCATTTTCGTTCTGTGATCAAAGTAGATCAAAGTAGGCACTGAAGAAAAACACTTGTCTCCGAAGGGCAGTACCTCTTCATTCTTTGGGGAATGCAAGCAAGGTGCAGCAACATCCCTATCTTGACAAGAATGCAGCATCTCCTTGCGGCCAGAAAGCCTCGAGCGCAGGCGCAGCTCGCGCTCCAGTGCTCTCTGGCGCGTGACCGCCGTGCGCTCCACCCCACCCCCAACGCCGCTAAGTGCGCACGCGCGCAGTCCGTTCTCTATCCACCCCCACAACGCGCACGTGCGCGTTCGCGCCGCTCACACTTCGGCGGAGGGCGCGCGCCCCGGAAAATTCCACACCCGGGGAAGCTCCGCCCTATGCGCCCTCTCTCGTGCCCTCGGCTCTTAAAGCTTAGTCCCCATCCCAGCGGCCTTTGCGGGACCAAAATGGCAGCCCCCGTGCCGCGGGGGTTGTTTTGTTTATCCAAAGCTCTAGGATGGTGGTCTCGTCAGGTGGGTAGGGGCCGGGTGGGTAGGATTCTAGGGGCTGGAGGAGGCCACAGAGTAGAGGGGAATACTCGCTTTGCAGCTGTCCTTGGTGGGCTTGGACGATACAAGTCGCACCTAGTTACGGAAGAGTTTGAGGTAGACGGGACCCAGCTACTAAGCCAAGTGGCGGCGTGGGGAGAGCCCCGTAAAGGCCACGAGGACGGGCAAATTCTCGGGGGTGAAGTTTCTCCAGTGTGGTTTGGGTCTGTCTGGCGGGTTGGTATTAAAGGGGAAAGAAGTCATGGTTTGGAAGCTGGGCTCGCTTCCCCTTGGTTCTTAACGCATGTTCTAAATTGAACAGTTGGAAAGGAGGGAGTTTTATATCGTCACTGTACTGAGTAAAACTCACGGTCAGAGAGAAAAGAGGTCTGGCTTTTAACGACGTTATTGATCTTTTGGGAGCTAGAATGACAGAATAAAGTTTACAGTTAGGCTCCCAACAGAATGAGCAGGTTGTAATCCGAGTAAATATAAGATGCCAAGAAGAGGACTTTTCTTATGCTTTAATGATAGCATTGCTCTCTTTTCAGTGTTGGGTTGATGTTTAAGTTTCCCATGGGACTGAAGGTTCTTTGAAAGCAGAAGCCTTGCTTTAATCAACTCTGCATCCCTGGGACTTGGCATAGTCGTGTGCTATGGAACGTACCACAGGAAAGCCTTTAGTAAGCAGAAGCCTTGCTTTAATCAACTCTGCATCCCTGGGACTTGGCATAGTCGTGTACTATGGAACGTACCAGAGGAAAGCCTTTAGTAAATGTTGAGTGGTGTTAGTAAAGGTTGCTTACAGGCTTCTAGTTAAGACACCCATGAGTGTTTCCCCACTGATACATGACTTTATAATTGTTCCTAAGTCATTCTTTGGATGTGCCCTTTCTATCTTTGCTTAGAGTTTGTTCAAGGTAGATTTCTTTCCAGGTCCCCTTTATCCTAACCTTTTCCTGTCTTACAGCCAGTCCTGGTGACTCAGTCCACAGTTGTAGTTCCAGTGAGAACTAAGAAACGTTTCACACCTCCTACTTACAAACCCAAATACAAATCAGAAAAGGAGTTTATAGAATTTGCCCGGAAAGCAGGTGTGGTCATTCCTCCAGAACGTTTGGAGCGTCCCCTACATCTGGCCTGTACAGGTGAGGCATGGTATTTCTGAGACCCTGACTGAATTTCCTCCTTTCAGAGATATTCTGGAAAATGGAATGATTTAAACCATGATTGACTGTATTTAACTAACTACAAAATCAGCTCAGCCCCAATAATGATTTACTTTGTGTATACCGTATTTTAAAAATTTTTATTTTTATTAAAAGATTTTATTTATTAATTTAATTTACAGGGAGAGACAGCGAGAGAGGGAACACAAGCAGGGGGGGTGGGCGAGGGAGAAGCAGGTTTCCTGCCAAGCAGGGAGCCTGATGAGGGGCTCTATCCCAGGACCCTGGAACCATGACCTGAGCTGAAGGCAGTCGATTAACCAACTAAGCCACCCAGGTGCCCCTTATTTATTTATTTTAAATATAGAGAGAGAGCATGCACGTGCACATGAGTGGGAGGAGGGGCTTAAGGAAAGAATCTCAAGCAGACTCCCCACTGAGCTTGGAGCCCTACTTGTGGCTGGATCCCACAGTCCTGAACTGAAATTAAGACTCAGATGCTTAACTGACTAAGCCACCCAGGCGCCCCTCATGAGGTCATCTTTGATCTTGTTTACACACCTGTTCTTAGAAGGCAAGGGTGAAATTTCTCCATTTTGTACAAGAAGAAATTGAGGCTCTGAGAGAAGACTTAAATTATCTTATTCTGTTTTTTCCTAATGTAACAGAGTTCCCTGTACGTGGAAGTCTACTTTATTAGTCTACTTTATACCACGGTATCTCTCAATTTTATATGACCTCAAGATGACTAGATGACTTTTTCCTCAATCTTTCAATGCCTACTTGTTTTCTTCTTTCACGACAGCTGGTATCTTTGACACCTACGTTCCTCCAGAAGGTGATGCTCGCTTGTCATCTCTTGCAAAGGAAGGATTGGCACAGAGAAGTGAGCGATTGAAGAAGAAGGTGGCATCACAATTGTCGTAGGTATCTGGGACAACTGGGAATCAAGAGAACACAAATTTCTTGTTACTCTTTTATTCCAGAGGGGCCATCTTAGGTGAATTGGGTTGGACATAACTCCTTTGATAACTTGACGGTATATTTTTCTCTGTAATAGAGTTTAGTTAATGTAGAAGAATATGGGCTTTTTGATTCTTCGCCTCTCAGCCTTCATTGGTATTTTTGTCACATCAGTTAGGGAGGTGACTTAGAAGTTTGTAGAACACTTTTTTGATCACATATTTTAAAATTTTAAAGATTTTATTTATTTATTTATTTGAGAGAGAGAGAATGAGAGAGAGCACGAGAGGGAAGAGGGTCAGAGGGAGAAGCAGACTCCCTGCTGAGCAGGGAGCCCGACGTGGGACTCGATCCCGGGACTCCAGGATCATGACCTGAGCCGAAGGCAGTCGCTTAACCAACTGAGCCACCCAGGCGCCCAAAATTTTAAATAATAAAAGCATATTTATATGGGAAATACCTTAGAGTTTGAACTACAGAGAATAAAAAGCCAAAAGGGGTAAAAAAGACAGACCTGTTTTACGGAGCTAACTAGGTCTTAACTAAGGAGCAGAAACCAAAACCTTCTTAGTCTCTCTTTAGTTGAAAGGATGGGAACATTTAGTATTTGTCACTCGGAGGTTCTTTGGGATTGTTTATAGTTTTCTGTGCAGAAGCATATTGAGTCTTTATTAATTCTTCATGTAGCCATAATTTATTTCTCTAAATACAGATCTTATCATATCACCTTTCCATTAAACCTCTTCTGTGGCTCTCTATTACTTGAAGAATAAAATCCAGACTTCAGTGGTATTCACAGCTTTTTGTAAATCTGGCTCTTGTCTTCCTTTCCACTGTCACCTTCTTTTTTTTTTTTTTAAATGTTTTATTTATTTATTCATGAGAGAGAGAGAGAGAGGCAGAGGCAGAGGGAGAAGCAGGCTTCCCGCGGAGCAGGGAGCCCGATGTGGGACTCGATCCCAGGACCCTGGGATCATGACCTGAGCCAAAGGCAGACGCTTAACCATCTGAGCCACCCAGGCGCCCCTCCACTGTCATCTTATTCCACTTTTCTCATCCTAAATCAGCATTTCCAAACTAATTGCCAGTTCCTTGGCAGTGTTGTGCTGTGATTCTCTGTCTTTGTACATTCTTTCCTTTGCCTTGAAGATGTCTTTTTCCTCCTCCTTTACTTGATAACTCCAGCTCATTTCTCAAGAACCAGTTGTGCATCATGTCTGCTTTTAAGCCTTCCCTGACTCTTTCTGGAGCTCCTTTACTGTAATTGTAACCGTGCACCTACACTTACTATTTCTTCTTTTTTTTTTTTTTTAAGATTTTATTTATTTATTTGATGGAGAGAGACACAGCGAGAGAGGGAACACAAGCAGGGGGAGTGGGAGAGGGAGAAGCAGGCTTCCTGCTGAGCAGGGAGCTTGATGTGGGGCTCGATCTCAGGACCCTGAAATCATGACCCGAGCCGAAGGCAGATGCTTAACGACTGAGCCACCCAGGCGCCCCCATGCTTACTATTTCTGATAACTGATTTCCTCTCATGTATTTCTCTCCGGGATTGTGAGCTCTTTGGTGGTAGGGTCCATGATGATGATGAACAAAAGCACATGTGGTTTTATCATGGACTTATCATATAGGGGAGGAAAACAGCCATTAAATACTTACTGCACACAGTTAAATAATTACAGGTATGGTGAAGTATGAGTGCTTTGGGATCACATGACAGGGAAAGATAACTTGGTCTGGGAGTTCAGGGAAAGCTTCCCTGAGGAAATGACATTTAAAGCTGGGACCTAAAGGATTGCTTACAGTTAGCTAGGTAGAGGGGTGTTGTGAGGAATAGCATTCTAGGAAGACAACAGCACAAGGAAGGCTCTGAGATGGAAAGAATGCGGAGGGGGTGTCAGATTTTGTCAAATGCTTTTTCTGTGTCTATTGAGATGATCATGTGATCATTGTCCTTTATTCTATTGATATATTGTGTTACATTAATGGATTTTTGAATGTTAAGCCAACCTTGCATTCCTGGGATAAATTTCATTTGGTTACGGTATTTCTCATCCTCCAATATATTTAACTCTGATTAGATCAGCATTCCCTGTTTACATTATTATAACTATGAAAAAATACTGTTGACAGCTGAGTCGTGCAGTACATTATCATGACTTTTCCTGCGTATTTTTTTTTCTGGAGTTAAGTTGTGTTTTTTTTTTCCCTCATTTGCTTACAGAACTTCTAGTTGTATAAATTTCTTCTCAGCACATTGAAGACATTAAGTATTTTATTAATTTCATCTTCAAGAAGAAATTCCTCTTGACCTTTCTTACTTGTTTCTGTCTGGACTGATTGCTCTTTAGGCCCACTGAACATCTTGGGATCTACTTCTGTCATTCTCCTGATAACTCCTTTTGTCTCGCTCTGCTGTTGTATTCCCTGTTTCCTGGATTTTATGTCTGTCTTTCATGGTTTATGCTGTTATTTTGGTGGAGCACATTCCTCAGCAGCTTCCTGAGAAAGGGTGCATAGTAGATACATGAGATCATTCAAGTCTAAGAAATACTCTTTTACTCTCCCACTTCATTTATAATTTGCCCAGGTGTACAATTCTGAGCTAAAAATAATTTCCTTAATTAATAGCACTGCTCCATTGTTTTTCTAACTTCTAATGTTGCTAGAGTTAGAAGCCTGATGTCATTCTGATTCTTGAGCCTTTGTGTAAAACCTGTGTTTTCTTTCTTAGTGCTTGTAGGATGTTCTCTTTGATGCCAGAATTCTGAAATTTCACTATAAGAAGCCTTGGTCTTTCATTAGAATGATTGATGTGTGAGTTAGAAGGTTGAATTTACAGGACTTGGAACATTCAGAAAACAATTATTGAATAAGTGGACAGACATTAATGACAGTTAACGTAAGCTGTGAGTTATGGATATTATATGAAGTTTTTAGAAATGATTCTTGGGGTACCTGGCTGGCCTACTTGGTAGAGCATGCGACTCTTGATCTCCGGGTCGTGAGTTCAAGCCTCACGTTGGGCATAGAGCTTACTTAAAAAGTGAAAAAAGAAAGAAATGATTCTCATACTTAATTTTACAGAATCCGGAAGATAAGAGAACATGATCCGAATTTTAAAATAAAGGACTTCCCTGAAAAAGCTAAGGATATTTTTATTGAAGCTCACCTTTGTCTGAACAAGTAAGTGAATTCTATCTTATACCTGTTATGTTTTCAGCAGCTGTTACTCTAGGCACAGATTTTTTTTTCCCTTTGGTTAAGAGTTCTAGAGTGACCTAGATAAGTCTAGGTGTGTGTTTGAGCCAGCCAGGCGGCCCCAGGTTCAGTTTTTAATGTTAATTTTTTATCTTAGGAATTCTTACATCATATAGGTATCATAAATTCTGTGTCCACGTTTGAGTATAACGTGGGCTTAGGACTTTAATTTTTTTTAGTGCCCCCCAACTCAGCCCTAGACAGAGAGAAGCTTTATCTCTCTACTATTTTTGTAGTCTTCCTTTGTTGCAGGTGCAGGACTTGAAGGTCACAGCTTTGTGCAGGGATCTCAATTCCAACTCCCTGCTCTTTGAGGGTTCAAGGATTTAGGAAGAGTGTTCCTAGCCGTCAGATCCTATTTCTAGATCCATTTAATCATCCCATATGCTGTCATGATGTCAGGTTGTGTTCTTTCTATTCTGGTTTTAGTTCTCTTTCCTTTTAGCATCTAGGAAATTTACCTTTCTTGTGAACTAGAGCTTTTTAAAATGTATGTGTGTCTGTGTGTATTATATTCCGTCCAACATTTCTAGATGTTTATAGTGGGCGTAGTTTCACATGAGCTCAGTCCATTATGTTGCCAGAAATGGATGTCTTCCTTTTAATTTTTAAGTGTAAGTTCTATTGTAGATGGTAAGTGAATTTCTAGACAAGGGAACTTATTTCTGCTGAAGATCTCTAGGCTAGGATAGTAAGGAGGAAGAGTTCATTGAGAGGTGCCAGGCCTGGTGGTGGTTGTAGCTGTCATCAACACTCAGGTTAGTCCAGTCTGGTCTAGTCTAGAGCTACAGTGGGGGAAATGGCTTGGGGAAAATGACCTTTTCTGTTAGGAGTAGAGGTGCAAGGGAAGCACGTGGACAGAACTAATCCCTTACCCACTCTGGGATTAGGGACAAGATTATTTGAAGGAACAAAGATTTAAACTTCCCAGGAGTTATTAAACTGTGGGGAAAAGTCGTGAATGTGTATGTGAAAGACACTAATTCATGCCTGATCTCAGGTTTATTTGAAACCCCTCAGCTAGGAACCTTCTAAAATCCTGTATGTCCAGGAGCTGGGGTTTGCTGTCTGTTTTCTTACTATTCCTACATAGGATCAGCCTGACTAAGTCACTCTGGTAGCAGCAAGGATTGGGGGACGTGGGGGGTGGGGTGGAAGGAAAGGACCAGAAAAGAGAGCTGCTTATTTTTTGGTTAGGTTCACAGACAGTGTAAGATGTGGGACACCTGTGGGTCACCTGGGTGGCTCAGTTGTTGAGCGTCTGCCTTCGGCTCAGGTCATGGTCCCAGGGTCCTGGGATCAAGCCCTGCATCGGGCTCCCTGCTCGGTGGGAAGCCTGCTTCTCCCTCTCCCACTCCCCCTGCTTGTGCTCCCTCTCTAGCTGTGTCTCTCTCTGTCAAATAAATAAATAAAATCTTTAAAAAAAAAAAAAGATGTGGGACACCTGGCTGGCTCAGTCGGTGGAGCATGCGACTCTTAATCTCACGGTTGTGAGTTTGAGCCCCATGTTGGGTGTAGAGATTATTAAAAAAAAAAAAAAAAGTGTAAGGTGCAAGGCCAATCCAGTTGGTATTGATGATATGTCTGAGGTAAGAGGAGATAAGATGAGGTTTTTGATTTTTTGTGTTGGATTTGTGAGGGTCTCTTGCCCTTCTTAAGGATGTATGGTAATTTCTGAGAAATTTGTTTCTGCTCTTGAGTTTCAAACATAATTTCACTCCGCAATTAGATCTCAGGGTCTTTTAACCATGTTCAAATCTTTATGTGCTCAGGACTTAGCATATTACCTCCCTTATTGTAGGCATGCAGAAAATGTTTGTAAGAAGAATTGTCCATTTTGAGGGCCATTTTCCACTTTCGGAAGGGGTATCATAAAGCAGGAGCCAGTGATCTGTATCTTTTTTTTTTTAGCTCAGACCATGACCGGCTTCATACCTTGGTAACTGAAAACTGTTTTCCGGTAGGTCCTCAACCTCCTTAGAACTGTGGGATGCCTGAATGGGCAGATTCCAGACATCACCTCTGGTTTCTTAAGAAGGATCGGTTTTGCAAGTACAGGAAGTTTAAGTCAAAAGCTGAGGTTCCTTTGTTTTTGGCTGAAAGGTCCTGACTTGACATGGACTTTGGTACGGGCCCTGCGTACGAGGAAGGAGGAAGTCCCACAGCAGGCAGCACTGAAACCTCAGGCTCTCGGGGCTGAGGTCAGGGTGCGGGCCGTATTAGGCAGCCCTCTGTGCACCTACAGTATAATAAAGGATCTAGCGAGCATTCAGGAGGCTTACATAGTGTGTTAACCAAGGTGCTAGGTACTTGGGGAGACGCCTCAATATGGGGACTTTGTGGTTCAAGAATAAGAACTTTAGGGATGCCTGGGTGGCTAGTCAGTTAAGCATCTGCCTTCGGCTCAGGTCATGATCCCAGGGTCCTGGGATTGAGCCCCACATCAGGCTCCTTGCTCAGCGGGGAGCCTGCTTCTCCCTCTCCCTCTGCCTGCCGCTCCCCCTGCTTATGTGCGCGCGTGCTCTCTCGCTGTCTCTGACAAATAAATTAAAAAAAAAAAAGAATAAGAACTTTAGTTTCGGGGCGCCTGGGTGACTCAGTCGTTAAGCGTCTGCCTTCGGCTCAGGTCATGATCCCAGGGTCCTGGGATCGAGCCCCACATCGGGCTCCGTGCTCCGCGGGAAGCCTGCTTCTCCCTCTCCCACTCCCCCTGCTTGTGTTCCTGCTCTCACTCTCTGTCAAATAAATAAATAAAATCTTAAAAAAAAAACCAAAAAACTTTAGTTTCTATCAGCTCAGCCTCATCTCCCTGTGGTCACATATAACTGATCTGGTCCTTGCAGGCTAGCCTTTCTATCCCTGTAAAATCCCATTCTTCAGTGCTAGCTGGCGAGGGGGGATAAGACAACATATATGCAGTCAACAGATATACATGCAATAACTAGCAGCTTATAAAAGTATAAGGGAGGGGTGCCCGGCCGGCGCTGTTGGCAGAGCATGCAACTCTTGATCTCAGGTTGTAAGTTCAAGCCCCATGTTGGGTGCAGAGATTACTTAAAAAAAAAAATCTTTAAAAAAAAAATATATTTAAAAAAGTATAAGGAGGGTAATGGTGTATTAGATAAGCTGACATTTTAGAGTGTGGTTTTCACTGATTTGGAGAAGGTTCCTTAAGAAGGTAGGTGGGTCTTGAGTTATTGATTTGGATGGAAAGGGTCATTGCGAGGTGGGCTTAAGCAATAGTTTGATCAAAACTCTGGAAAGAGAGAAATGGCAGGCACAGGAAAGCATTTGGTGAGATATGTTGTGTGATGTGGCTGTAGTATCACTGGAGGTGAGAACAGGTGTGGAAGGATGCACCGGCTTTCCTAAAGGGAAGGAAAACCTCAGTTGACCTTGTTCTCCTCTGCCTTCAGGACATGGTCTGGGACATCACCTATAAGACCGTCCGCTGGAGCTTCATAGAATCTTTAGAGCCACCACAGGTGGTTCAGGTTCGCTGTTCGAGTCTGCTGAACCAGGGCAACATATACGGCCAGGTCACTGTCCGCATGCACACCCGGCAGGTAGAGGCACCAGTCTGCTTTCCTCCTCGCTTTTCTTCACTCTCAGGTCAGGTACCTACCTCTGGAGTCTTGGGGACAGCTTCCCAAGACTGGGCTCTAAGGAAAGGTGGTTCACCATGGTCTTCTTTGCTCGGTCAGTGTGCCCTACCCAGTGCTAGATGTTAGCTCTGCTAAGACAGGTGTGAGGATGCTCTCTCCCACCCTTCCTGACCCTCCCTCTCCCACCTCTCCAGCCCTAGTCAAAAACCCTCCAAGAGGAAAGTGTCAGTAGTTGATCACTTAGTCTAGATTCAGAATTCTGAAATAATTTGTCCTACCCATTAAAAGTTTTTGTTATGGTTGTTTTAAAAATGGTTGTGTGGCATAAAAAATAAAAAAATAAAAACAAAGAAAAATAGAAACAAAACAAGAAAACCAACTCTGAGTACTAACAGGCCAGATTTGCTTTCATCCTTGCAGACTCTGGCCATCTATGACCGGTTTGGCCGGCTGATGTACGGACAGGAAGATGTGCCCAGGGATGTCCTGGAGTATGTTGTGTTTGAAAAGCACCTGGTAAATCCCTACGGGAGCTGGAGAATGCATGGCAAGATCATTCCCCCATGGGCACCCCCTAAGCAGACCATCCTTAAGGTAAGGGTGATTTAGGAGAGCTGGGGCAGTGCTTATGCCATCTTAAGCCACTCCTGTTGGGCTCCACCTAGTGGAGAGGGGGGGTGGTGATGCAGCACCAGGGAAGGGGAATCCTCCATGGAGGAGGTGAGGGTGAATCTCTTCTGGGTAAGTCATGGCCTCAGATGGTAGGTAACTCAGCTTCCTGCTCTTTCAGACGGTGATGATCCCTGGGCCCCAGCTGAAACCCTGGGAAGACTATGAAGAGCCACAGGGAGAGGCCTATAAGCCTCAGCTATCCTGATGGCAAAAATGACTCCTGGGTTGAAACATGTGATGAGGTGGCTGGACTCTGTGGAGTCTGGGAGCTGTGAAGTCCATCATCTCTCCATCATGCTGTAGAAAGATCTACCTTTGTCCTTTCCTCTCCTGCTCAGGTGTTTCCAGCCATCTCCTCGGCAACCATGGCTGATGGCTGGTCCCAGGTGGGTGGGTAGCTGATATGCACATCCATGAACCCACTTCTTCTTTCTTTTTAAATTGTATGTGTAGGTTCTGAGTCTCAATGGAAAGTATGTTTTGGATACCTGTTTTTTCTGCGGCGGAGACCATCAGGAGCAAACTGGCAGAATTTTCTTTTTAATTACAATGCAGGGATTAGAGTTTGAAATAAAACACTGTCGGGCACCTGGGTGGCTCAGATGGTTAAGTGTCTGCCTTCAGTCAGGTCATGATCCCAGGGTCCTGGGATCGAGTCCCGCATCGGGCTCCCTGCTCATTGGGAGCCTGCTTCTCCCTCTGCCTCTCTCTCTCTCTCTCTGTCTCTCATTAATAAATAAAATCTTTAAAAAATAAATAAATAAATAAAAGAAATAAAACACTGTCAGGGTGTTGGACAAACTGTGGTGAGTTGTGTACCTGTCCCCGGGCTTAGGCTAGAAGTAGACCAGAGGGCAGAAATGGAAGATGGGCTGAACTGTGAGTGATGTGGCTTCCAGGAAGTCCAGACGTGGGAAGAATAATTAGTGTTCATTGGAGATTTAAGGTTTTTTCTCATATACTGACTCACCTAATCAGCATTTGTACTTCATAGAAGAATGTAAATCCAAAGAAATCATTTATCCTTCAGCCTTTGGATTGTGTTCCTAATTATCAGCTGCATCCTGGTGTGGTCCCAGGAAGCGTGGGAGGAGCTAGGGGCCATGGGGGAGGTGATACATTTGGGTATTCCATCTGTAAGACTTTGTTCCCTGATTTTTAGCACCTCTTGGAGATGGTGACTGTTCTTTCCAGCCCCCATTGGTAAGGCAAATGTACTAGAATATGAACCTGTTTTGAGTGAAGCAGCCTCGCCCCTCCTTGTCCCTGAGCTCTAGCTGGGCTGTCAGGAGGAGGATGTGGGACTTGACCTGCTTATGTGTCCTGGGTGGTCTGAGGTATGACAAGGGAAATCACTCTGTACCAGCAGCAAGCTTGGCTTGTACTATAACTTTCATCAGCCCAGTGTGGGCTCCCCTTAAAAAACAGGACCTTAATTGTCATACTTTATATTTTCCCAGCCTAGAATTTTCTTTCAGTGAGTCTGTCACTTGGGGTCAGGATTAATCTGTTCTCACCTTATCCTGAGAGCAGAATCCAAAGAACGTAGAATCAGGTCAAGAATAACCTAACTCCTTGGAGTGCCTGGGTGGCTCAGTCAGTTGAGCATGCAACTCTCAATTTCGGCTCAGGTCATTATCTCAGGGTCCTGGGATGGAGCCCCAAGTTGGGTTCTGCACTCAACAGGGGAGTCTGCTTATCTCTCTCCCTCCCCCTCTACACCTCCCCCCAGTTACGCTCTCTCGCTCTTTCTCTCTCCCTCAAATAAGTTTATTAAAAAAGAAGAACCTAACTCCTCAGTCTTTCTGAAACTACCATCTCAGCAAAGCCTCCAACAGACCAGTCCTCACTGGGGAAAACTGATGTTTTTACAGCAGCTGCCGAATGCAGACTATGGGAACGAGATGTGTATGCCTAGGGGAGAGGCAGCACTGGTGGATTAATCCAAAGCAGCCACTCTTAATCATACTACTTAAGTCTCAACCCTTTTGGCTTAAAATGTACATCATTTTGAGGCATTTCTGCTGAACTGAGGTTTGGCCACATCCTATTTGCCTGAGCCCTGGATTAAGGCAAATTGAGAAGGCAAGTGCTTTCAGCAGGATCCACAGCTGGGGAGTATGGAGTAAGGGGAAGTAATCCAGGGAGGGTAGGGAAGCAGAGAAATGAAAAGAGCGCACTTACTGGGCACGTGACCGATTGAGCTCTCTGAATATGTAGAAACAGTGCTTCAGATGACTGTTTCCTCCCACTCCCCCGAGGTCTGTGTCAGGGGTCTCTAGATGATCCTGAATGGCGGCTAAGCGCTAGCGGCCACCAGGGCACCAGAGGATAAGTGCAATTTCCATTTCCCCTTGGGATCAGATCCAGCGGAGCAGATGGCCCAGATGTAAAGGATTGGCTTGAAGGGCCGGGCAGAGACAGTCTGCAGTGCCAGCCACAGAGCTGGGGACTGGCTGAGAATTAGCCAGACCACCCCAAAGGCCTGAAGTTTGCAGTGTAGTTACCCTGGGCTTACTCTTGTTTTCCTACCTATCTACTGTGCCCGTTGAAGAACATTGGAGAAAGAAAATCACCGTAATGAATAAGCTAGAACTAACTCTAGTGGTCAAGAAAAAGCATTCATTATTTTTCCCCCCATGGTTTATTTCACAGCAGGGGTTATAGGAACAACTTTCTGTTCCCAGCTAGACCAGACCCAATGGACTTGTTCTGATGTGTGGTTAGCAAAATTATCATCGGCTTAGAAGCAGTGAGGTTAACTAGCCAGAGCCCAGAGCAACAGTACACTTTAATTACTGCTCTGAAATCCCAGGGCAAGGGACCAGGTAAGTGGGAGGGGCTAGATATGGGAACAAGGGCATCGAGTCCCTGAAAGACTGGGTTTTTCCATTCCTTGTTTTGGAAATAGATCATTTTGCTACTTTTTCTGGCAAAGTCCTGAAGCTGCCCAGAGTATTTATATGCAAACTCATTTTTTCCCCCACTGGGTATTTGGTCTCCTTGTTTCGTCTTTTTCTTCCCTGTGAATGGCACCAGGATCTGCGCAGTTAGAGGGTGGGCTTATTGCCATCTCCGGGGCCCCTGCCAAGCTCGGCCATGTTTAGTCTGTCTGTTTCCTCCCCTCACCTCACCCCTGCCAATGTCGGGACTTTGACCAGTGCTTTTCTCCTTCCTCATTTCTCTCTGATGGTATGCTCTCATTCTAGCACTGTTCTCTAGGACCACTTAAGCAAGGGTAGCCTGAACTGACTTGAGAGGATAAAGCTGAGCTAAGAAGAAGGTTTTGTTTTAAACAGGTTTTTTTTTTTTTTTTTTTAAAGATTTTATTTATTTGACAGAGGGAGACACAGCGAGAGCAGAAACACAAGCAGGGTGAGTGGGAGAGGGAGAAGCAGGCTTCCCGCGGAGCAGGGAGCCCCATGCGGGGCTCCATCCCAGGACCCTGGGATCATGACCTGAGCTTCGGAAGGCAGACGCTTGACGACGGAGCCCCCCCAGGCGCCCCAAGAAGAAGGCTTTGTGTTTCCATGATGCACTTTCCCTTGCCCTCAGGCCTCAAACCTGCCTGGTAGCATTACTCTTTCAGAGGGCAGTTCTTGTGCCAGCTGTAAACAGGACCTGCTTGCTTTCTTGCTTCTTGGGAAGGCAACTGATGTGGGCCTCTTGTTACTGAACAAGTGATTTGGAGCAGTTCTCACATCAGAACCAGAAACTCCCCTGGCTCCGATTGCACCGACAATAGAGAGGGGTCCCTTTGATGACAGCCCTGGGAGGCTGGGAGGAGAGCGAGCCAGTGAGGTGAACTCTAGATGTAAGAGATGGGGCAGAGGGGGGGAGGAACCATCTGAAAAAGCTAGCAAGGGGCACATGCAGACGGAGAGGGGGTCTAGAAGGGAGGGCTCCCCCCGGGCCAGTGTACAGGAATTGGAGCCACTGCTTTTTCTTCTGTGCTCTCGGTCTCTGGTGTTGCTTTGGATGCCAGATGTTGATAAGGAAGTAGGAGTGCTTGATTGGCTGTATGTCAGCAGCCAAACAGGGCAGGCGTGAGATCAATACGGCAGGAACTGGAGATCCAAAGTCAAGATGGCAAGGTCGTTAAAGCATTTCGGGCCCCTCTTCTGAGCCATTTAAGTTTTTTGCCTGATTTATCTTTGAACTTGAATTAAGTGGCTTCACCAGCTGCCTATGGTGACCTTTACAGCCTTTCTCAGTCCCTAATGTTGCCAATGCCTTGCATGGTTTCATTTCTTCTCAGAAAAGGGTCAGAAAAGGGGGTTTCCGTATGAGAACATGTGGGCCGGGCCTGCTGACTTCCTTTCTTTCCTAACATTGGCTGCACAAGCGGGTGTCCAGACACAGCTTGTGTCCAGTCCTCTAGCTGGATGGGAGGGTTCCTTAGAAGCAGAGGGTCTGGCCTTTGTTCTCTGGAGCAGGAACAAAAGTGGGAAATAAAGAGAGGGTGAGACTCTGTTGGGGTCTTCTGAGCCGCACCTGTCTTGTACAGTTTGTCTTCAGAATGAGTTGACTTCTGGCCTTGTTGGAGAGGGGAGGTGGCCCAGTGTCTCTGACTCAGCTCTTGTGGGAGCATGTAGGACTTGGAAAGGACCTTGGCTCCTGAAAACCAGCCACCTGATGTTTCACCTCACGTGATGGAGTTGTTACTCGCAGTCCCAAGGATAGACATTTGGAGGGGAGAGTTCCTCAGGTGGAGCTGTAGAAGCCCCTTCTCCTTGGTCTTCAGTTAAGGAGGAGGACTCCTGAGCCTCAGCTTCTTGGAGACTCGGCTCTGGGGCTGAGCTGGTCCTCGGCGCATGTACTGAGGCTCCTTGGAGCTCTCTGACACCTTCCGGGGTAAAAGTACTGGCTGCCTTGCTCACCTCAGGGCGGGAGCTTTTGCTTTCTGGAAGGAAGCTACCTGGAGATCTGTGGACTAAAAGGCATGGTGGGTTCTCAGGGACTGTGGGGAGAAATATTTCTGTCTGAGTTGCTGTTAAAGCCAGAAGGCCGGATTCCTCAGATGGGGCTCCAGTTCCCTCCCAATCACAGATGTCTGCCATGATGCCCTTTATCCCATTCCCTTCTGGATCTGTGACTTCCCATTGACACAGCTCTGCCATCCTGCTGCCCACACTGCTTGCTCCCTGGGGACTGCCTATGGGTTGGCCAGCGTTGGAAGTGTCTGGCTGGGGCCAGGGCGCCCCCGAATCTGTGCTTTCCTGGGGGCAGACTGTCTCCTCTCTGCTGACTTTAGCTGCTTCTTTGGAAAAGTGTTC